TTTCTGAATATGTTTTTAAATCCTTCTTGAAAGTATCCATACAGTATATGCTTCTTTATGGTACTTCATGTATCTATTCTCTCTGTGTCTCTATAGAGAGAGATGATGAGATAGAGATAAAGATATAGAGATAGAGATAGATAGAGATAGAGATAGAGATAGAGATAGAGATAGAGATAGAGATAGAGATAGAGATAGAGATAGAGATAGAGATAGAGATAGAGATAGAGACAGAATAGAACCTTCTATGTGCCTGCTGCTAGAGATGTAAAGATAGTAAAGCAAGCCCCTCTGAGGGTAAAATCCTAGTAGGGGGCACTACAAATAAGCTAACAAACAATAAACTAATAATGCGCTAACAGTTTTAACAAGTGTAACTGATAATCTAGAGATATATCTCCAGTTCAGTGACAAAAGTGCAGATTTTGATTTCAATGAAATTCTAATTTTCAGATGAATGAAAAGAATGGGAATCAATCTAATAGTAAACATTTTTATATAGCATTAGAACCTTAAAAATCTTGAAAATTTCTAGACTTAATGAAATTTAATTGTTTTTAATCAAGAGATGCAGTGACCTATGACATAATAGAGTGAGAGGATGACCCACTTACTTAATTCAACAAACATTAATTGAATACTTTCCATGTGCCAGGCATGGTAACAGGAGCCAAAGAAACAAAGGTGAATACAATACACTTTTGGTGGCCACAGTTAATTGCTGCCTAGTACGGAAAGCTAACATAAGAACAGATAATCATCGTGCAATTAGCATAATTAAAAAGGGGGATGCCAGGTGTAATGGTGACACATGAAAAGGAGTGGTCAGCTCCTTGGAAGATACACAGCATTTCAAGGAACGCAAGTAGTGAGTGGGAGCTAGGAGTTTCACAGGAGGAGAAAGGCAGAAAGACAGTCCAAGCTGAGAGAACCACCTCTTCAAGAGCATGTATGAGCATGGCATGTTTAGGCAACTACAAGAAGGTACTACTACTAGATTCTAGGATGCAGAATCAAAATGAAGCTGGGGAGGCAGATCCAGCCACACAAGGAAAGAACCTTTTATGCGGAGGGCTTTTACTTTATTCCACAGACAATGAGGATACAGATAATGTACAAGGTTTTAGCCAGGGAGTGACTTAAGTCAACTCTGGCAACAGCGTGGGAATTAATTGAAAGGGAAAAGAACTTAAAGACCTAGAAAACAACGGGCTGGGTACTTTGATCTCACACACTTGACCACTAGCACGTTCTGTGACCCAGGACACTCTGATATGAGGAAAACCTACATGTAATATTTTTATCTTGCAAAGCTGATAATGCAGAGAATTTAGAAGTTCTGTAGGTATAAACAGTAGTTTCACAGTTAGGAAGCTGTGAAGCATCTCTCATAAGAGTCCTATGGTATTATAAGCTTATTCACCCTTGGGCTTATCAACATTAAATCAGCATACGAAGAGTCCTCTTCATATGGGTATATGCTTCTGAATCACTGTGGAAAAAGCCTTCTGCAGGCTCTAGGTTTGGGGAGTAAGGTCCTACAGCTGGGAGCAAGCACCTGGGTTTCCATTTGAGGAATGCTCCTCTACTCCTTGCTCGATATAAATCTTCCAAAATCTAATGATTACTCACAGCTGCATTTATCTCTTCCTCTTTCCTCTAAATTTTGCCCCTTCAAAGCCAATACTTCTTTTAATAATAATAGCAATTTTATGTATTAGGTGTTATTTTAAGTGCTAAACATAGTTTCAAATGATTAAATTCTCATATCAATATGATGAGGTGAGAACTATCACTATCGTCTTTGTTCAGGCTGCTAAAACAGAATACCATAGAGTGGGTGTCTTATAAGCAACAAATACTTATTTGTCACAGTTCTGGAGGCTGGGAAGTCCAAGATCAAAGCAGATTCCATATCTGGTGAGAGCTCGCTTTCTAGTTCATAGACATAATCACTTCCCAAATGTCCCACATCCAAATAGCATTACATTAGGGACTAGGTTTCAACATAATAATTTTTTGGGGGGGGGAAGGGGACACAAACATTCAGTCTCTAGCAATTATCTTCATTTTTTTGGAGGAGGAAACAGCAAGGTACCCAAGATTTGAAACTGAAGCACAGCTACCAATCAAACCCCAGCCATCTGGCTCTGGAGTAGATATTTTTAATCGCCATAATTTGCTGCCACCCACAAGTCTCAATTTAAAAAGGTACCCAGTCAGAACAAGGAACCAGGACATCAAATATTGCTTTACGGAAAACTTTTCTTGAATATTCCTTTTTTATAAACTCCAAAATCCTGTAAGGTTTGCCCTGGTGTCCAGTTGTTGCGCTTTATATACATGGTTTGCATTGGTTCAACAATCTTAAGAAATACACCTCCTCATACCATGTTTGGAAGTATAGTTCAGTCAAAAACCGTTCACCAATGTTTTTTTACAGTTTAACCAAATTCTCACAATTAAGATCTTTCTATAAGAATTCCGTCAGAACATGAGACATATATAAGAATTTGTAGCTCATTAAAATTTTTTTCCTTTATTACTCAAGGTTGAAATGAAACCTTTTCTGCAAGATTAGCAGTAAGAGCAAATGTCATGTTCTCTATCGATAAAAAAAAAGTCAGTTGCATTAATCTTTTTATCTTGTCATTAGGTCATAAGTCACCAATCCTTTTGTGAGAGGGAACTTCTATTCCCTGAAGCTTTTAAAGATATAACAGTAACAGCAAGTTATTTTTTAAAAATCAATCTACCATATATAGGTTCCAGAATCTACTTACTGCTTGAAGCACCCCTGACCCTGCCCATTCTTGAACGTCTCCTATATTAGTTTTGGAATCTGAGCTTTATTTCCAGAAACGGTGAATTATTCAGATAGGAAAAAAAAAAATCCACTGGCACTTAGCTCCTTATGGTTTTTAAAAATTTCTTCTTTAGGTGAGCAAATCTCAGAACTTTATGGACCTGTGATTCTGAGTAAAATATATACTAAAATGTTTCTCATTTAAAGACTTTCAAAAATTCACGTGAATGACAGAGGTCAAAACTTTCAGCAAAAGAATTTTGTGAAAATTATTGCCAATGCTTCAAAGTGAGAGGACAAGAAAGGTGGGTGGAGAAGAATCTGTTTTCTTTAATTGCTAACGGAGTGGTTTATTCATTGGCAAGACCTATGTCAGCCCACTGAAAAGCAGCAGGGTGCTTTCAAGTTCCCTCCGGCGGGGTGGAATGGTGGGGGGAAGTAGGTGCTTATTCTGCCTTGTACACTGAATGCAGGTTGAAAATATTAAGAATTAACATGCAATCCTTTCACCTGGCAATCACTCACCTCTGCTAGGGTAAAATAATGCTAAAGAAAGGAAAGAAAGAAGGAGGGAGGGAGGGAGGGAGGGAGGGAGCCGGGACGATGCTGGGTGTTGGAAGGCAACCATTTTATAGCGTGATGGATTCATTCAAAGAAATTGGAAGGAAGGAAGGAAGGAAGGAAGGAAGGAAGGAAGGAAGGAAGGAAGGAAGGAAGGAGAGAAAGAGAGAAAGAGAGAAAAAGAAAGAAATTAGCACACAAAAGTAAGGATATGCCACTTTTACATTCTGAGCTCCGTCCGCGGTGAGCAGGCCACGGTCAATACAGAGGGACAGAATGATTTATCATGGAAGTCAAACTGTATTTGGATTACAGCACGGCCATCTACAAGTTGTGTAATCTTGCCCAACTACCTAATGTCTTGGTACGCGTATCTAGAAAACTGGAATTATCCTAACTTTTAAGATTGGAAGAGAACTGAGTGAGAGAAGCGTGTGAAAATAGCTGGCCCCGGCGGCTCCCAGTAACCTAGTTTGCCTTTTTCCTTTGGCGTATCTATGGCGGCGGTTGGTGGCCTCGTCCCCCGCCGTCTCCAGCAGCTTATTCGTACAGTGTAGGTACTAAACTGGACGGTCACCTTTCTCCTTGTGGGAACTTCTGCCTTTTTCATTCTGCCTAGCAGCCCAAGTCTAGACTGGTAGGGTTAACTTCGAGCTCCGTTTACAGAGTTGTAGGGTTGGGGAGAAACGCCAAGGAATGCTCCACGCCTGCCTTTCCAGTCCGTCAAGAGGTGAGCACCAAACAGCTGTTTTGTGCCCGGTATCAGAGTCAGGGTGGGGAGGAGGAGGGGAGCGCGTCTGACACCCAGACTAAGATTCCTGAGCTCGCTCCGCTCCTCTTGGGCTCCGGGAAGAGCCCTGAGCAGGGCAGGAGTCTGGGCGCGCAGTGGACCCGGAGAGGCTGCAGGGCGCCCGAGCGGTCGGACGGGGGAGCGAGAGCTAAAGCTTGCGGAGATCGCGGAGCAGAAGCGAGGGCGACCGCGGCCGAGAAGCTGACGCCGCTTCCAGCCCGCCGGGCCTGGGGAGGCGGAGCAGGCGGCGCCGGGGAGGCGGGGGCGGGGGCGGTGTCTCCCCGAGCTGCGCAGGCGTTGCTCGCACCTTGTTGATTAGTCAGTGCTGGGAGCGCTGCTATGGCGTTTCTCAGACCCGCGGCTCCTCCTCACACGCTCGAGGCGGAGGGAAGGAGGGGTAAGAGGAGGAGGAGGAGAGCCGGCGGCCGCCGCAGCTGCAGACCCGGGGCCAGAGGAGGAGGAGGAACGGGAGCAGCCGCCGCCACCCGGGCCG